AATCGGAGCTCCTACTGGTCCAAGTACCGAATCAACCCTCAAGAGAATTATTTATCTACTTCTTTCTTAAGAAGGAATGGATTCCATCTCGTGTAATAACATTCCTGGCTACCTACTTCATCATGTCTCCAAAATACAAGGAATATGATTCAGGATCTCAGAATCCGTACCGAGTAAATCAAAAGACACAAATCCATAAATAGGAATCTGTTAAGAACTCAGGATTAAGATCATCCTATATATGACTATCGGTAGACTCAATTAGAATTTCTATACTTAACGGAATTATTAGAAATTCATATTGTGTTTGTGTCCTTGTTCCACATAATCTCATTATGCGAAATACACTCATTCAATATCTCTCAATATTAACAGTGCGGATAACACCGTTCCATTCTAAATGGGAATGACATGTATTAATAATATTTTAATTAAAGATTCCGAACTTTAATTAAATTCATTATGAACATTAATTTTTGATTATTATCCTTAAACATTATCCTCTCGTATATAACACTTATATACAATGTTTAAGGTTACATAAATAATCATGGAATTTTTATTGATATTCATAAAATATATGCACATAAAATAATGAATAAACTCTTTTATTAAATAAATAATAAATATCCTATTACATCTTATGCTTCTAGGACACCATTCCCAACATGTAATGCCTAAATGAAAGGACACACGAAGTTTATAGTGGTTCACTCTGTTAATGAAGAGCTACATCCACTATTTTTGTAGATATTTTTTCCATCTTCTAATTACATGTAGAGTGAAGAAGAGAGAGCCCTTTTATAGCCCAAGTTTACTCCAGGAGTAGTTTTTCTCTATAGGCCTACCCACTTGAGTGCCTACTACCTTATGGGCCTAGACCCATAGCCTGCTAACAGCTTTTAAACTGTTCATTTATCCAGTTTGTCTCGTATTACGGTTCTACAGATTCCCTGTAATCCTTCCACCGTCCTCTGTTGGGCGGTTTATGGACTAGTAATTAATGCCTGCATAACAGGCATCTTTCAAACCTAGACGTAACTTCATTGTTCACTCAAAGGCCTCTCGGAGGACGTGGACCCACGTCTTATTCGGCCTGCATTCTGTACCTACATGCTAGGTTTAAACGCCGAGGGCGAGGGAAGCTGGCGTGACGGGTCGACCGCCGAGATCAAATGAACGTCGAGGGAACACAAGGTTGATGACTTTTTAGGGGTCGACGTCTAGACTTGGGTGCGTCCAGGATACACGGAGTCGACGGCTTACCTGATGCGGCAATCATGGCCACGTGGAGTGTTGTCGTCATCTGACGTGTCGGTGCCTATTTTCTCATACAACATTAAGTATATCAATATCACACATTTTATTGTCAAATTACATTGAATGTCATTGGAGACAGTTTTAGTTGAGGAAAAAAGTTAAGGTCTCATTCAGTTCGTGAATTCGAGTTTTTAATTTGAGTTAATATGTGATTTTATTGTGAGAGCTTTTCACTGTAGTAGAAAAAGTTAAATGTGATTTTTTATGAGAATTTTTAACTGTAATAAAATTAAAATTAAAAATTTAAATTGATAAAATGAACGAGACCAAAGAATAACGCGAAAAGAGTAGGAAAAAAGGTTGTGGAAACATTTTTAAAAGGCCTAGAATATGGGAGAGAGACAGGGACAGGATGCGATATTTTCCTTGTTTTGGACTTTTGGTTCTATATTCTCAGTACGAAGGAAACCCAACACAAACAAAATACCATTTCTTCATCCCAGCAAATAAACGATTGCCACGTCTATATTGTTGACTAAAAATTTCAAGTCATACGAGGCTGCGGAAACGTGAGAATTATCTTAAATTTTTTTTTTTTTTTTTTTTTTTGGGCTCTCCCCTTATCCCTTTGTCAATATCACATCACAATCAGTGAATTTTACGTACCAGAATTAAGATATTTTCTATGCAAATACTAATATTAATTATATATTTAATATTAAAAAAATGTGATATAATATATTATTTTTATTTTAATATATAATAGTATTTTAAATGTTAAATTTATTTTTTGCATCACGATTAAGTTTTAAAAATTGTAAAAATAAATTTGTATTTTAAAAATAATTAAAAGAATGTAACAGTTGTAATAATCACATAAAAAAATAAATCTTTCAACCAATAACAATTAAATGTTAAATCTTCTATATATTATTTATGGTAAGAAATTTACCGTAAAATATAACACGTGAGAAATTTAACACAATAAATAATATTATATTAAAGGATATTTTTGACATTTAAATATTAAATTTGTAATTATCATTGACACAAAACATCTAATACACATACGGGTCATCCAGGCATTTCCACAGAATCTTCTAACCCATGGTTTCTAGTTACCTTCCGTTTTATACATCAAAAGAAGCCCCTTTTTTCTTCCTTTCTTTTTAACCCCTTAAGTCACCTTCCGAGAAATCTCCTCTGTTTACACTTTAACCAAAAAATCTGGTTTCCGTACGCTTTATATATACATACAATATATAACAAACATTTCCACAAACAGATTGTGAGCACGTTGAGTCCTGTTATCCATCAGCTCGTAGAGTGTTGAGCATATTATTACTTTTTTTGAAGGTTTATGCGTCAATGGATGTGCTGGGAATTAGTCCGATGAAAACCCAGAAACAGTTTAAGAGAAGCAGAAGAAACAAGGGAGTAAAAGTGGTGTACATATCGAGCCCGATGAAGGTGAAAACGAGCGCGTCGGAGTTCAGAGCTCTTGTCCAGGAGCTCACCGGAAGAAACTCCGATGCCGAGCGTTTTATGGAGGAGATTAATGGCGTCGGAATCAACACCGCCAATCTCGATGATCAGGATCAGCATCAGATGATGATGAAGAGTGGATCAGTTGAAGGCGGCAGCCATGAAAGTGACCACTACAATTTCAACATCAACAGCTCGTCGGAGTACTCATCGTTACCGGAGTACTCACCGTTACCTCCATTTGCAGGCATTTGGGAATGATCAGAGCATTTTCAGCTAGATCATTTCAGTCTTAGTTATATATATATATATATATATATGTATGTATGTATGTATGTAGGTATGTATTGTAGTTTATATATATGGAAGAACTTAGCTTAAATTTTGATATGTTGTTTGGGGAAACAGATAATTTAGGCCTTTTTTTTTTTTTTTTTTTTGAATGAACCAACAACTACCAAGGCCTCAAGGGATAACCTTAATCAAGAAATAACTAACACTCACAAATTCCTAATTAAGGATGAACCACCAACGGTTCTTAAAACATTATTAAAAATAAATTAAAAGCTCATGATAAGAGGATATTCAGCAAGCCAAACGGCTAACAGAAACCATACAAGAAACATTTATAACATACTTCAAGGATTAAGCATAGTTATGGAACCTTATGATGTTTGATCAGTATATAATAATGCGTAATTATGTATTATTAATTTGAATGGGGAGAAAATACTAAATAATAAATTTATGAAATTAAATTAACTAAATAACATATTTTAAAATCATTTGAAGTAAATAACACCTTATCACGTAAACATTTCACTAACGGTTAGTAAAAAAAAAAAAAAAAAATCCATGTAAATATTTTTTTTACGACTGAAAAGAAGATTTTTTTTGTACGTAAATAAAATTTTTTATCATGTAAATTATTTTTACCAATTATAAATAAAATATTTACACAATAAATTGTTATTTACTTAAATAATTTTAAAATATACTATTAATTTAATATTATAAATCTGTTATGTGCTGTAAATACATAATACATTTACTCCAATGTCATAAAAAGGAGGATAAGATAAGCTTGTGAGGTACCTATCACAATATTTGTGGATCGAGATATAGAAATTTGTTGGTTAAGAGAACTTGAAGTTTTCGTGATGCTTCTTTTTCAAGATCCAACATTTGGTCAAACCATGACATATAATATCTAACAACATAAGTTCTAGATTCTATGATTAATAAAATAATTTAGTGAAAACCTTTTTTTTTTTCCCTAACAGTATTCAAGTCATTATTAAAGATTTTGAGAAGAGTAGACTGAAGTTACTTGAGTTCGATTAATTTCTTGATGAAAACAGAGACATCCTCTGATGCAATTGAAATTAATAATAGGTCGTTTCATAATTCGAGTTGAGAACTTAAGTTGAAAAGTAAATTTATGTGAAAGAAAAAACATTATAGTAAAAAAAAAAAGTTGAAAATTTAAATTTTTATGAAAAAAAACGTTGTAACAAAAATTTAAATTGTGATTCAAACTAACAAAAGGAATGGGACAAATTAATGTTACATAAATAATACCTAAGCAAATTTATTGGTGAACGCATATGCTTCAGAAAGAGATCACGTGTTTTGGTCGCCTGAGTCTGAAGATTTAGTGGACGATTTCTTTTTTCATGCATTCATGAGTTTCTATAACCATACAAGTTCCAAAGACATTGCTATAGTTATTGTTCTCTCTAAAGTTTCTTAATTTTTGTTTACAAATTTTGCGAGCCCATTTCTTGCAGAGTGTCCATTTTGATATCTCATATGGTTGATTCAGGAATACGTTGATGCGTTTAAAATTAGTTCCAAAATAATTTTATTTTTTATATGAAATTGAAAATGAAAACGTTTTTAATCTCAGACATAAATCGTTTTTAAAAATGCGTTTGGTAGTTTTATTAAGAGATTGTTTCAGTTTAAGAAAAAACTAAAACTCCGTTTAGTTATATAATTTTCACCTACTTGCCCAAAAAAAGGCCTCTACCCAAAGAAATAGAAATAAAAAATGAAAAATAACTTCAAATCGTTTTCATTTTCTAAGTGATTTTACACTAAACTAAAAAATAAAATTGTTTTTAGTTTTCTTACCTTTTTTCCTCCAAACACGTTTTCCCTCTCAATCTCATGTTTTTGTCTTAAAAAACATGAAAAACAAAAACGGAATTGGTTCCAAATACGTTGGTCATTTCTGGAGAATGGGATGAGAGTGGAAAGAGAATGATATAAAGATAGAGGTTGAATAGAAGGGGAATAAGCATATACAACAAAAACTATATTAGGGTCCGTTTAGTTCGTTGATTCGAGTTTTTAATTCAAGTTGAGATGTGATTTTATGTGAGAGCTTTTTACTGTAGCAAAAAAGTTAGATGTGACTGTTTGTGAGAACTTTTTACTGTAACAAAACTCGAATTCTAAACTCGAATCAACGAAATGAACGGGGCCTTAGTACTTAACACGATGAATAACAGAAACTTTCCATCCATAGATTACTTCTCTTTGCTTTTTTTATTTTTTTTCGGAATTAGTAAAAAATAGGCCAATATGAAAAGTTTAAAAAAGTACATAGGTTAATTTTTAGTTATAAAAATTAATATGTCATAATTTGTCAAGTTATGGTTCATAATCAGAGAAGTTATGGACAAACTTGTCAAGTTATGATTCATAACTAGACAATTATGGACAAAAACTGTGAATTATGGACAATAACTTGTTAAGTTATGGTTCATAATCAGACAAGTTATGGATAAAAACAGTAATTTGGCATATTTATTAACTTATGTAAACTATTGACCTATTAATTTTAATTCATCTCAAGTCTTGACCTATTGTCCTCTTTCTCCCTTTTTTTCCCCTCTCTATTTTGTTTCTAATAAACCTGATTAGATTTCAACTTACAGTCCAAATCATATGTTATGCAGGACTTGTTATAAGTATTTGCTTAAAAATCTAAAAAAAAAAAAAAAAAAATTGAAATCGCTCGAACATAGACCTTTATGTTGTTACAAAAGGGTAACGTATTTCTGTCTAGTAACTCTGAGGATTTTTTTTTTTAAGAAAAAAATCATTAACTCGCTCAAGAAAGTTCTATTTTTAAAAGGAAAAAATATCTGGCGGGTTTCTTCTTGTTTTTGTTTTGCACATTTTTCGAAAATAAAAATAAAAATGATTCTAAAACGACGTTTGTATAATTAAAGACAAAAAATAAAAATAAAAATAATTTTTAGTTTAGTATAAAATGAAAGAGAAATAAAAAATGATTTTTAGTTATTTTTTATTTTTACTTTCTCCTCTCTCAAGCAGAGAGAGACATTAATGAGTTTTTTTTATACTGAAAATAATCTCTTAATAAAACTACCAAACATATTTTTAAAAATAATTTCTGTCTGAAATTAAAAACATTTTCATTTCTATTTTTATATAAAAAATAAAATTATTTTAAAATGAGTTCTAAACACACCAATCATATTTTTTTTTTTTTTTGCGCGTTTACGAAGACCATCAGGATTTCGCTTCAAGATATGCGCATGTCAGTGCATGTTATTGAGTGTTTCTCTATGTACAGATCATACAATACTAGTTTCCTTTTGCCTTTTGTAATATGCCTAATTATTTCTAAAAGAAAATACAGAGAAAAGGGGAAATAAATTTAGGGAAATTTAAAAATTAATAACAGTATTTATTGATAAATATTTACTTTTGATAAATATTAGGCAAATCCTTTATTTACTAGGTTAATACTTTATTTACTTTGAAAATACTGTAATTATTGAAGCCAATTCAAAGTTGATTTTTTTAAAGATTTTTAGTCCGGTATTTAAATATGATATTTCTGTTAATCTCTTTGCTTTCTTTGTTATTTTAATATTATCTGGAAGATCCAATATTTTTCATATAAATCCTTGTTTCACTTTAAAAAAAATTATTTATTGAAATAAAAACCCTAGCCCCCAAAATTGAAAAATCCCAAATTAGAAAAAAAAAACCTTAATATTCTAACCCTAATCCTAGCCTATCTCCCTCCCACGCCTAAGTTGCGCCACCAAGCACCTCCTCCGCCTCCTCCTCCATCGTCACAACCAACCACAAGCCCAAAGAATCTCGATGGCACGTCGTCGCCAAACTTGTTAGTAATATTGATCCCTTGTAGCAAAAACATTTTACATAAAGGAAATGAAACAAAACCATTTAAAGTGTATGAGTCTGAATTTTTATCAATTACTCTTTATTGATATTTTCTTAGTCAAATAATTATATTAATTAAACAAATAACAATTAAGAATAGGGGTTAAAAATCCAGATATATGCACTTTAAGGATAAGTTTAATAATTTTCTTTTTTAACGTACCTAGCCTAGCCTATGTTCCTCCCACACCTAAGTTGTGCTGCCACCCACCTCCTCCATCGGAAATGGTCGACCACCCACGAGCACAAAGAATCTTGACGACGAGACAACAACGTCGTCGTCAAACCTGTTAGGATTGGTGTCTTGTAGCAAATACTTATTATATGGATGTATAAAAATAAGATTATTTTGTACATTAATTATCCAAATTACTTTCATGGTTTTGATTGTAAAAGTTGGAACATGCAAACAAAAGCACCAAGAATACTATTATTGAACCTTAAATTATTCATATGAGGTGACACATGCAAGAATATATAATTTTAAGGTAATAATTTAAATTAATCTGCAGCTCATAGAATAAAATTGAACGTATTTTTGTTTTTTTAATAAGATTGTAATGTCTGTTTACTTCCGTAGAGTTTCCTATAGGGAGGAATTAATATATATCAACGTCATATATATTGGACTGGGCCTAAATTGCACCGCAAAATGTCGTGGCCGAATCATCCCCGCAACAAACGACATCGTCGTGACGTTGACAAGCCTACGACGACAATGGCCCGCTACGGCAACAACCTTTTGCGAGTCACAGACCATCTGAGAAGAAGAGTTGCGATAGCGAGGAAAGTAGAATAAACTTTAATCACATTTAATTTTTTGTGTTATAGTTAAAATTTTTTAAAAAATATCACATTTTAATTTAAATTCATGTTTGTGACCGTATTTATACGAACGAAAAGTTTTTAATATTGCTTCAAGACGGGTGGAAACTTTAATCCAAAAGTCACTAGATGATATACGCAACCTCTTCTAATGATTACATAATAAAAGTTGTACGTAATCACTTTCAAATTTTATATTATATAGTTTTAAAAAATAGAAACAAGTCAAGCATGCACGATAGCTAGATGGTTTTTGGTTAAGTTTAGAGGGTGTATGGTATGAGAATTTGTGTCATGGTTCGAATCATAATTCGTGGCTCGTTACAGTATTTTTTTTCACAAAAAACACACGTAAATTGAGAATAGTTCTGAATCCGTGAACTGAACGTCCACTTAAATTGGAATATACACGGAACCTCATTAACCATAAAATAAAAAAAATTAAGCCAATGGATATGAGAAGATCAACCTTTGTGACAAGCATCATGTTAACTAGTATTGTTCTTGTTGTCAATCTCTCTTCTTTTTAACACCATTCTTTGTCCCTTATTTCAAGCTCTAAAGGAAGAATTAAGAAGCATACGAGGAGAGAAATACTATAGTGGAAGATTTGGAAAGTGTATGAGTGAAAAAATGTATGAATGCCTGAAGAAGAAAGGACCCATAAATATAAAGCTCTAAACATATATAGCTAGTCTCAAGCAATAAATAAAACCCGGCCATCTTCTCTCTCTCTCTCTCAAATATGTACATTCATTCATATAGTCTAAAATAACATTGGTGCTAATTATTTTTGAAGTTGATAATACTCCTAAAATGTATTCGTTATGTATTGTTAAGTAATAATAATCATTTTTTTTTTTATTTTTAGCAAAGTAAACAAAAAATCATATTTAATTCTTCATTGAAGATTATATCTTTCCTTGTCATAAATGTTTCATTTGTGCATTGAACTTGATATAATTATTTTCTGTGGCTAAAGAATCTTCCATTCAGGGACAGATTCATGAGAAATAATTACCTTAGTTGCTTGATTTTAAAACATGTATTTTTCATTTCAAATAAATAGTATTTTCCTATTTTGATGGAATTGTCATCGTTAAATATGATGGAAAGAATATCCCTTCAAATTTTTTTTTTGTATTTTTTTGCACTATTGGCCTGAACTATGAGCATTGTGTACCTTTTATAATTGATAGTACTCACTAAACTTTGCCTTTTTATACCTCTAGTCTTTGATGTTAATATTGATGAAGGATTTTTGAAGTTTAATAGAGACAATCACATCACTATTTCATAGTAACTGAAATTAGTTTGTAAGGTTTTTTTAGCAGCAATAAAGAAATCTATTTTGCATTGAATACAAATTATTTCTATAAAACTTTCAATTACCGAGCGAGAAGGTGATTAGCTCGGTTAAATTTTAAAAATCTCTAGTCAATTTTAACGGGACCGAAATTGTAGAAAAATGAAAGTACAAAAAGTGAACTGGCCATGAGAAAACAAAAAATCGGGGACCAAGATAATAGTAGGTGTTTGAAGTGATTCTTCCTACTTATATGTGCCTGAGGGTGATTTTGATTATAATTGCACCAAGAATGAAGAAAGCATGCGCTTGAGAAAGGATCGTAAGCAACGTATTGTTGCATGTGGCCAAACAGAAGAATACTAGATAGGAGCAATGATAACAAGGATCTCCTTAAAAGGGTATTTATTAAGAATAAGGGATAAAAATCCGAACACAGTACACTCTAATGGTAAGTTTAGATATTTCCTCTTATATATATATATATATATATATTTATATATGAAGATGAAACACAAGATTGTCAAGCTACAAACATATTTTTACCTCTATGAATACGAAATGGCCTAGTGCCACCTTTCTCATTGCCGTGCCCTTTGTATCAACTATAAAATAACAGCAGGACAGCCACATTCTTCCCCTTTTTCCTACCTATTCATCTGTTGTACTCGTTCTGTTTATTAACAATAAATAAATCATGTAGTTGCAGACTCGCAGCGCTATTTGCAATGACCGTACACCTCTTTCCGAGCAGCTTGGATGGCACGATGCAGCAGCAAGAGCTACCCACTTTTCTCACAAGCTTGAGGATACACATCCAAGCTTTAGGACCCAACTAAAAACAATTGAGTTGCAGAAAGGATTAGATGATCACGAAGTGCCCATTCTGCAGTTCTCATCAAGAGAGATATCAGCTGGATCTCCAATCCACGGGCGGCCCTCTCTCCACCGGAATCTAATCCTCAACTTCCCATTTGCATCAACTCCAACCACCTCTCCCTTGCTAGCATGTGTCTCCATTCCCCAACCCCACCGAGGGGATACCAAACCTTCTCTGATCCTCACCTTGTCCCCCACTTTAAACGGTCTAATCCGTTCCACTTCCCATGCCTTGCAAAGCCATAGCCGCTCCATGAAGCAGAATGCCAACCATAACTCCCCGTCTTCCATGCGGTGCACCACTCCGATGCTCGAATGATTCACTTCTCCCCACTGATGTGTTGGGGTCGAAACAGATGCTTTGACCCTAACCCAATCTCCAATCCGCAGCTCTTGCTCCTCTACCACTTCAACTTCTGAAGGATCCAGCATCCAGGATTTTGAGCCAGCTGGAGTATATATTCTAAGCTTTCCATCAGCATCAATTGCGGATATAGTTCCAACACTAGAGTGGCCGTAGCCCGACCACCCAAATCTTGGTTGCTTTACAGACAATTTAACCCTAACTTTCTGACCAACAATAAGCCTCTCCACCCTTTCGAGATGGCATGTAGGCCCGACGCATCTTTCTTGCTCTCCACAAAACCCCACAAAAGTGGTTCCGTCCCATACATCTCCTTCATAACCTATTCCTTGGACTACACCAACACTACCTGGCCCAATGGACTTCCAGTTACTTGCATTGTTTTTTAATCTCACCCACTCTCCTACTTCAAACATTTGCTCCATCTCAAGATCTGCAGGATCACCTCTCCACAAACCGGGGACACCAAAGAAAGCCACCCTCACTTCCCCGTCAGCATGAACACTGGTTATAATGCCTCTTGAATCAGGCTGAGCCCGTCTCCAGCCCCATCTTGGCTCGACAATTCCAGTCCGAAACCGAACATGTTGCCCGACTTTAAAACACGGAACCTTTTCAATGTCTGTGTAATGAGTAATCGACCTGCCCTTGCGAAAACAGCAAGCCAACTCTAAATAACCAGTGTCTTGTACACTGTGCACAACAGCTAAACTCTCTTTCCCAATACTATTCCAGTCATAACTAGGTCTAGTCCCCAGGCTTGGTTTTGAACGTACCCAGTCACCGACTTCAAAACCAGAAAGCCGCTCTGCATCTCCTGGGGAAACTTTCCACAAGCTTTGTCGACCAGCAACCTTCACCTGCATTAGAAAGATCTAAAGAGTTACTTTCAGGTTTAAAGATTCACCATGGACTAGCATGATTAGATTTGCATGGTGACCAGGAACAGTTGAAGTTCGTAAAAGAACTAGACATTTTGTATCGTGCTCCCTCCCTCTCTCCCTCCCTCATTTTCATATTCATTTTTCCAAAAGGCTCAACCTAGTATTCCTCCATTTCTTTTCCCATTAACCTTTGCACTTCACATTCGTTGCTTACTATTCTTATTCCCAAAATAGAAGGCTTACTTCTATTAATTTGGAAGCCGAAACAATTACTACATTGAAATTCAAAATAATAGTAGAAGACAAGCATGCTTACATTCAAAGCCCCGTCCATGTCAATTCTGATAATTTTTCCGACAGTGGCTGGAGTTTCATTTGACCACCCAAGTCGTGGCTGAGTTACAGATGGCATAATATGAATCTCTTGACCCACCTCAAAAGCAGAGACCTTTTCTACATCTGTAACGGAGCAACGAAAAGGCTTGCTCCTGAAGCAGAAGGCAACCCCCATGTCACCATCATCCTCCAAGCTATGAATGATCCCAAAACTTGTCCTTGTTATGTCCTCCCACCCATATTTTGGGGATGGTACTGAAGCTTTCACTCTGACCCAATCACCAACCTACTCATGGTGGATATATCATATGACAAGATTTGTATGATAGATGATATTACGTATTCACATATGAACAACTTAAGTCTATATATGAGATGAACAGTCAGTTCATACGTCATAGATGTTACCTTAAAGTCTTCCACCTTTTCCATGTCAGAAGGATCCGCTTGCCATGGAATTGGTCGCTTTGGTATTTCAATAATCAGGAGGCCATCACTCTCTATCTCACTTATTCTTCCAACACTATGATGGGTCTCGCCACCCCAGGCATACCTGGGTTCTGCAACAGATCGCTTTACACATACACGGTCGCCAATCTAAAAACACATGCATTAGTGCAAGAAATAAGCCAATAAATAAACGGATAACAGACACACCAATCAACACTTTCTGTCGTACCCTGAAAGGAGTAACAAGTTCAACTTCCTCTGGTTCACAATGCCACGGACTTGGAAGATAGCTCAATTCCAACAGCAGACTGCTATCTGGTCTTATACAATAAACAATACCAATGCTCCCAGGTGTAACAGATCCTAATCCATGCTTCGCTGTTGTAAGAGTGGGCCGAATACGAACCCAGTCCCCAACTTTGTATTCTTCAACTCTCTCCATCTCCGCAGGATCAGCTTTCCATCCTCTTGATGCTCCAGGAAACCCAACACGTAAGATGCCATCATCATCGACACATAAAACAGTTCCAATGCTGTCACGTGACTGACCACGCCAACCAAACCTAACAATAAATTGAGATCAGTTACCAACATTTACAAATTAACGGGAAAAAAAAATATAAAATTTACAGAGAACATAACACAGAAGAGTCAAAGTTTTAGCTTATTTTAATATTGGATAAGAAAGGAAAAGTTAGTTGGGGAACAAATAAAGGTAAAAGTGCAATATGCAAAGCTCCCCCGACTGTAAGGAAGAAAGATACAAACAAAACTAACACAGAACCGGGTAGAAGAACTCTCCACACCAAAAAAAAATTAAGGAAAAGGTAAATATGCCCAAGTTCCTAAGACACCCTGAATCATACATACATATTCAATTCCTCAAGAAAATTAAGAAAAATTGCTATGAACAAACCACGTCTTCCATGAATCACAAATATACATTCAATTTTCAAAGTAACCAAAATGTAAATTCAGCACCACCTTGTAGTACAAAAACAATGTTAGGCTCCCCATTTTTGCAACAATAAATCAAATATATAAAGACAAACAATATTAAAACATGATTTAAAATTTAAAAATGTGTGTATATGCGCATGTCTGTCTTATGAGTGCTAGAACAGAAGGAAAGAAATCGACAGAAGAGCCCGCTCCAAAATGTCTTTCCAGACCTAAATCCAGTGCCATGGTCCCCCCGAAAAGAACCTAAAGCAAGCAAACTGAAACTTAACCATTAAAATGGAGACCATCTTTGCTCCTAAATACCGCACTCCATAGGACATCTTGTTCCAAGCAATATCATCGGACACTTTCCTAACAGGGCCTTGTTTCTATCCTTGATGTTACCCCTCTCCAAACGGCGACAGATTTTGATTCCCAGACCGAGTTTCAGGACGTAAAGGATCTTTTGAGCTTTGTCATCCTTGTACTGCACAAAATCTCATCTCGTTTCCAGCTTCATGGGCACAAAATTGAGCACAAGAAGAGAAAATAAATAAACAGGGACACTAGCTAATCCTGATTTGACTCAACTCAACCAGCATCCTCTCAAAGGATATGCTTTCTCCCACCATACAATCTTAAGGACACTTTTTAATCTTTTATCATATTTAAAGATTTAAAGATCACATATACAACAATAAAAGCTAAATTTACAACAAATGATGAACTGGACTCCCATTGAAAAAAAAAAAAAAAAAAAAAAAAAACTGTACTAATAACAACAGAAACTCTCAAAAGAGCTACATACATATGGTGCTCTATAGGTAAAGGAAAAAAAAAAATACAGCAAGTATTTGCTTCCACAGCTTTGCAGAAAGGGACAAAATGACAACAACAAAGAACAAGAGAAAATCAAGCAGTGAATAGGTAACCAAGAATTTGTAATTATTTACAACTTTGAATGAGAAACTTGAGCAGAAAGAAACCTTGGCTCTTGTACTTCTGGTTTAAGCTGGACATGCTGTCCCCTGTCAAGTGGGATGACTTTTACAACTTCATTTGCCAAAACTCTAGCCTCTCCAGAACAAAATGAGACAATTAGATTGTCCTTGTCTGGGACACTTTGCACAAAGCCCACACTTTTGGATTTTGCGCCTTGCCAACCATACGTGGGAGCTATGATGCTTCTTTTAAACTTAACCCAGTCTCCCACTTCATATCTACACCACAAAGAATATGAAACACGTGTTAGAAGTTCATCTACACCACAAAGAATACGAAAACACAGATTAGAAGTTCATAAGCCCTGCAAAGACAACATCAGCAAAATGACTGACAATCTCTTTTCTTACATTGTCAGAGACAGATGAACTCCTCTATTAACAAGTGCCTCCATCAGATCTTCGGAAATCCATTCCCGAGGAAGAGCCTCCAAAAGGTCACGTAATGTTTTGCCACTGCCACCAAGCATAAGTATAGCAGTCAGTAATAGGACAGAGTACAATAATGTGTCGGCACATGATTACAGCTTTCTTTTAGAGTGCAATTAATCCAAAAGATAAAAAGACATATGTTACAGTAAAGGGTACAAGAAATTCGTTGGCACTTGCCTGTTATTTCTGGCTTCCACTGCAGCATCTGGATTGCCAAGCATAGTAACGAGCCAGTCAAGATTTTCACGAATCATTTTTGCTGTCTCTGCCGCAAAATGAAAAGCATTATCCCCCTCATCGTCCTGGAAAATATCAGAAGAGACATTAGAAAGCCGAAAACAACAAGGCAACGATCTCTGGAACAGTAATAAGACCAAGAATACAGCTGTTCTAATTAGACATGAATAAAGTCCAAAAGGAGTATTAAAAAAAAAATAGCTAGTCGGGAGGGAGTAAAATCACATGCAAATGTTCCTCGAGCAAAAAAAAAAAAAGAATTATGTTTAAGACTTCTTTCTGGAGAAAATGTATAGATGAGTTTCCAAATACACATCAATTCAGTGTGGTCCAAGTGCCAGTTGGGTTTATCTGGGTTCAAGATAAACGTAAAACCATCTGCAATGCAAATGCCAATGCTAATGCTATACTTGCCACTAAAAATTGCAAGGATGGCAAATTTGATGTGCTATTCTATTTTGTGCTCCAATGCATAGTGCTGATTCAAATGCTATATCTACTTTTTGTCAAAATTATTAATCTGTGAAACTTGTAAAAGTAACCTTTCAATAATAAATTAATTTAAAAAGAACAATGTTGATGATTAAATAAAAGAGTATCTCAACCATCAACCATTAGCAATCAAATGCCAAATTTGGCATTTGCTTTACTTGGTGACAAATTTGACACTATGAATAGCATTTGCCAAATTTAGCATAAAAAATAGCCCCACTGGAGAGCAATCTTTTCACTCAAATGCCAAAATTTGGCATTGGCACGTCAATTTGGCATTGCATTGGAGCTTCTCTAAACCACATTTGCTGGTTTCTATATTAATTTTTCATAATTTTTTCCAGGAAAAAAAAATAATGTTACACTAAATATGACACTTCTTTTTTGACTAAAAGAATGCAATACACTCGATTGGAATCTCTTTAAACTACTTCTAGCACTATTTAATTAACTGGATCAACCAAACCACTTGTAAATTGTAACTAGGAAATTATGTTTCTACTTTGCTTGCAAAACAACATTACCACTATATGGGAAAAGATCATATTGATCAAGTACACAAATTTATATAACAGCTTATCCTAGCAGCCAAGAAAGAGATGCCTATGAATCATTACATTATCTCATATCAAAATCGTACTTTACAGTCATCTCTTCGGAGATATCTGATGAGAAGAATGGTTCAAAGTCGACAAATGTATGATGCAACAACGGGTTATAGAAGATTGCAAAAAACCTGAAAATTATAATTTGCCCCATATGACAGAAGCAACCGTACGCATGACTTTGCTCCTCTGGCCAGTGCTACATGAAGAGGAATCGTATTGTGTTCGTTCCGAATGTTCACGTCAACTCCAGCCTCAAGAATAATCTGCGCAACAATTATAATTCATGACATCACAAAACTTGAAACTTGAAAGTTGAATAGGAAAAGAACCAAAAAACTAAATCCAGGGCGCCGCATAAGAAAAGGCCATATCAAGATTCAGTTTACTAAAATAGAGAAACCCTTATACTATTCGTTTAGTTCAAATACTCAATAAAGCTGTCCTGTATACCTTGACCAACTCAACATCATTAGCCATTGCAGCTGTATGCAGTGCAGTCCGCCCATGCTGGGCATCTTGAGCAGTTGGATCTGCACCCGCAGCAAGCAGTATCTGCACCATTTCTCTCCCCTCTACAAACAGCATAAAGAATGAAATCAGAGAATTAAAGCAGGAGTGGGAGCAGAGAGAATAAATAGACAAATCAGAACCAATATTGTAGGAGAAAAGCAACCAGACATGAAGAGCATAGATGGGGTATGGGAGGGAGGCAGGTAAATCAGGGGTGGAAAGAAATTTGAAGCTAAAACAGCAGCTCAATTAGCTTTGAACATACAAAGGTCAAAAATAAACATTTTTTTTCTCCAAAAAAAAAAAAAACAATAATAAGAGCTATCATTACCAATTTCATGATCTTTCTTTACGGCAGCTGCCATACACAGTGCAGTACCAACAGGGCTCACGATATCAATTGCCTCTGCAATTTCTTCTGGAGTTGCAATTTCCACCCACCTTCTTAGAACAGCCACATTCCATGTTGCCACGCACAAGTGCAATGGTCTGGTCCATCACAAACATCAAGAATGATGATAGGTAGAATAATAAGCTAAAAATGAGAAGAAAAAGAGAATTTCTTTCAAGGATAAAAACAAGACTTATGAATAAAAATACTTTCTAAGGAGAAAGTAGGGATCCAGGCTACTTGTGAGCACCTAACCTACCTTGAGAGCTAAATTACTCTAAGGTGAGCTGGGAATTCTACTAATGAACTTCACTAAACTCCCCTTCTTCCATTTAACTTACGGTAAAAAAAAAGGGTAAGAATTTTACTTTTGCAAAGAATTGTGTTCATTTCTCTTTTCTTTAAATGACAACACACTAGTTCTCTTTCCTTCCTATATAACAGCACAAATTCTAATAAGCCATTCTCCTTTATGTCCTCCACAAATTTCAATCCCTACAACTTTAACCTTTCTCCAATCATATTGCAAAATTATCAAAATAGCAAGAGGCACTTTTGAAAACAAAAATGAATCTATTGTCTTGAGTACAAACATTTATACCGTTATGCTTCCCAGAAAAACCCACTATTTGAGTAGCACGTTTATGGCAATAATATGTTAGCCAAAGAAAGTAGAAGAGTTCAAGTTTAGTACTTACGTCAAATTTTTTGAATTTGAGACAGCCATTGATTCACAGCCCCCATTTTCCAATATGACAATAGCACAGTCTGTATATTTCTTGGAAATAGCCCTGTGCAGCACTGTCTCACCTTCATCATCCATCGCATTCGGATCAGCTCCAGCAATTAGTAACTCCTGTTGTTATTCATAATTATAGGAATTGGACGACTTATTTCATGCAGGAAAAGAAAAAAAATAAAAAAGTGACTTTATCTAACTCGAAGACCTACGCGCATGCAATCAGGTTGGCCATGATAGGCACAAACATGAGCAACAGATGGACCAAAGCCATCCCTCAAGCTGGATTTGACATTAGCGCCTCTTTTAATGAGAACACGAATGCATTCTGGGGATCCAGCTGCTAATGCAAAAATCAGAGGAGGATCCCCATCCTTGTCCAGCACATCCACATTCGCTTCTCCATATTCCAAGATAGCCTCAACAAGTTCTGCACTACCACGCCTACAAGCTAAGTGGATAGCAGTTTGGCCATCTGCATTTTGAGCCTCTAATAGAGACGATATAGTTCCATTTCCTGATGCAGCCTTGGTAAGCAGATCTCTGAACAAGGCATAAATGGAATGAGAAAAAAAAAATCCCCAAGATAACACTGTGAATATGTAGCTCAATAAGTTTTGTTCAGATACTACCTAACACCACTCACATCCCCTTCAGACACAAGTCTATGTAGGAGGCTGGTGTAGTCCAGGAAAACTTCCGAGTCAGAAATAGGTGACGGTTCTGTCACATTTGATCCAGAGCATTTTGCAAAGTCACTGTATATAAACAGAAATAAATGACATAAACTTCCCAAACTGGAAAGGAAAAAAAAAAGTGCTCATAGTTAAAATCTAGAACTAAAATATACACGTGTTTGTGTGTTACACACCAGATGTATGTCTCTTGTAGGGGGAAAAAGGAAAAGGCTCAGGAGAAAGGAAAAGGCTCAGGAGAAAGGAAAAAAGAAACAGTTTTATAGGTCGTATCCTTTTCCTCTTTTCCGCTTTCCAACAAGAAATGGAAACAATAATACAGATAGAGAAAAAAAAATAAGATAAGAAGAAAGAGAGATACTCCCTACAAAAAACAGATACAACAGAACACAAGGACTTTAACTAGTGAAAATTTTTATGCCAATAAAAAAATCACAAATACTCTATGACAAGAAGCAACTTAAAATCTTACTTATCAGGGCTTGCAGGAGGGCTACGGGGTATCTCTTGTAAATGACGAAGGAAAGTTGCCAACATTGCATTAAAGGTTGGCCTTCTAGCTGCCTTGAACTGTAGGCACTCACCAATCATTTTCCATAGCTCCCTAGGTATCCCCACACCTACTACGCTTGCATACTGAGGAGGCAACTTTCGAGCCTTAACAACAGTTCGATAAATTTCCTCTGCACTTAAACCAGCCCACCTACAAAAGGAACGTAATGATAAGTGAGAAAGAAGATAAGAACTTTAAAGTAGAGAATACATTGCCACACATACGGGATGGAACCAGTGCACATCTCGACCAATGTACAACCAAAACTCCAGGCATCTGACTCTGCAGAAATGCCGATTGCATCATCCCAAAACAAATTCAATGACTTTTTCACTGGTTCCCAGGCCTCTGGAGCTGCATAGTGGGGACTGAGCATCGTACATTCCATACATGAATGGATCCTGGAGGTATCACACTCTGATCGAGATTTCCGGCATGAAGATTTCTTTAGAATTGAGGCAAGTCCATAATCAGAAACCACTGCACGTCCACTTGAATCCAAAAGAAGATTTGACGGTTTCAGATTCATACAAACAACACCTGCTGCATGAAGTTCAGCTACCCCTCGTGCTATGTCAGCCCCAAATCTACACAATAAGAAGATCTCAATGAATCAAAACATGAGTTACTGAGTTCAGCAATCATAAACATATCAGCTGCCTGAAGTTCAAGTACGCCTCATGTATGCAAGCTGGCTTCAATTAAGCCACAGGTATTTGAAAGTATTTGCAGGATTGATCAACTTTGATATTAAGGTTAGCTCATTATTTTAGCAACTTATAGAGTAATATGCCTCCATTTGACAAAGAATGAGTGGACCTCTAATTTTTATCAGTTCCATATGCATCGTTACTAGCAAGTACTAAAATAAGCTCTCTCACTTTAAACACCATCTTTATTACCAAAAGAATTCTCTCCCACATTGTAATGCCAATAGGAAGCTAATAATGTAAAAGTAAAATAACTTCGGATCAAAATCTATTGGCAGAAACTGCATAAAGTACTGATGATTTTTTTTATAAGAAAATCTATATTAATGTGAATCAAATACAAAGATTAGAGGACAAGGTGTTCTCAAGAAATAGAAAGCACTCCTGTTAATAATAATCATAGTAAAAGAGTAGTCTTTAAACTCCGTCCGCTGATGCCCGTAGGCCATAACGAGGCAGAGTACTTAGCCTTCTCAAACAGATCCTCGACAGTCCACCCCCATCTCTTTATCATAAAAAATTCGAGAATTCCTCTCCATGCACAAAGTCCACATTGAGATCACCATGCCCTTCCATAACACCTTTGCCATTCTATTTTAACCGAAACCAAACATCTCTTGCCATTTTCGGTACTCATACTATCTTGTACAAGAAACTGTGCCACTCGCTACAATAAAAGACAGATACACCAATGTTTTTTTACCATCTAGAGGAGCAACTAAAACGTTACCTTATGTTCGATCAGAGAAACTATCTAAAAGCTAAAGAACTTAAAAACCTGCGTCGCTAATTCTCAAATCCAAAATGTTCCAAGGATCCCTTCAAGCCAATTTTCCAAACCACCAGAAACCACAGAAGAATTCAATCCATTGACCAAGTCAAGTTACCGTTTTCAATCACACGCAATTATCACCATAAACAAAAACCAAAACTAAATTGAAACATATAGAACTTGTAGCCAAGAAAGAAAAGGGGGAAAAAACAGAGAGATAAAAGGAATTAAAAGCAAAATCAACAACAAAACCTTAGAATTTGCTCCAAAGTAAGCCTGCCCTCATTGCGTTGCATTTCAGATTGCACCGACCCATAACACCTGTCCATGACAAGACACAAAGAGCTTTCCAGCCTCGTAAACCCATGAAACGTACACACATTCCTACACCACATCGACGCTCGCCGCAAATTCTCAAGCTGGCCCACCACCCAATCGACATCCGTTCCCTCCGCCACCGCAACCTTCTTCACGGCCACCTGGTGGCGGCACCGCCCCGCCGCCCTGCTAATCACGGCAGACCACATTTCAACCCCGGGCCGCCTCCCTTCCCCTATCCGCCTCACCAATCTCAAGTCCTGATGCGCCCCAACCTCGATTACGGGCCCGCACCCGCCGCCAGAGCTCGACACCGCAGACGCGCGGCTGCAGCGACGCCGCGAGAGGGATTCGGCGTCTCCGTCCTCATCACCATTGGCGTCATCGTCCTCGTCGTCGTCCGTGTAATCGCAGTCGAAATTGGGCGCCGCGGAGGAGTTGGCGGCCGAGGCGGCAGAGCTGGAGTCGATGAGCGCGAGGATGGCGTAGTTCTTGCGCAGGGCGTGGACGGAATTGCCGACGAGGGACACGTGGCGGCACCTGGGGCAGGGAAGGGTGGTGTCGGGGCTGGCGGAGAACATTTTGGAGAGACACTCCTTGCAGAAGCCATGGCCGCACTGGAGCAAGAGAGGAACTCTCTCCTCCTCGTTGTACCGCGTTTGGCAGACCGAACAACACGGCACTTTCATCTTTTTTCTCTTCTTCGCCAATCAATCGGAGAGGCGGAAAACGAAACCGAGAAAATCCGGCGACCGCAGATTGTCGGCAGCTCAGGGGAAGATCTCGGCGAAGTAGATAGGACGAAGAGGCAGATCCATGAACGAATTAGGGGAAGAATGGAAGATAGAGAGAGAGAGAGAGAGAGAGACCAAAAGGAAAATGGAAAAAGGAGAAAACAACGAATAAAAAATAGGAAAAGAAAAAATGATTTTTCAAAGAATGATCAAAATTATTCAGCTAATAAGCTATAACGACTAATGAGGAGGAAGAAAATCTAGAAAGAGAGAATAAAAAAAGATTAAAAAAAGGTGGGGGAGTTTTAGGAAGGAAAGGCTTTTTTGCCGAGAGACTTATAATTGTCATTTTTGTGTTTTACTAAGGACAGAATGGGTAGTTCCTGTGCTTTCTGACTTATTCTTTCTTTTCATTTCTTTTTATATTTAAATTTTCTTATTATCTTTTCAAGTCTTGCTATCTTAATGCCGTGCTTGAAATTATTTTTGTTTTTTATATTTTTTTTAAAAAAAAGAAACGATTTTAAAATAACGTTTAATATAATTAAAAATAAAAAATAAAAATAAAAATAATTTTTTAATTTAGTGTAAAATAAAAAATAAATAAATAATAATTTTTAGTCGTTTTTTATTTTTTATTTTTATTTTCTCCTTTCTCGAGCAGAGAGAGAGACATTAATGAGTTTTTTATACTAAAAATAATCTCTTAATAAAACTACCAAACGCATTTTTAAAAATGATTTCTGTCTGAGATTAAAAACGTTTTCATTTCTATTTTCATACAAAAAACAAAACACACCCTAAGTTCCCCTTTGTTTTATAGACGCAGTTCAGTTCAACTCAGTTCAAACAATGAGCACAGTTTCAATTTGTGTTTTGTAAGTATACAATCTAAGTTATATTCTCTATTTAAACTGAGTTATCATTTTTAATAATAAAAAGGTGTCTAGTCTATTTGTTTTCACACATACTAAACTCAAATTCGAATTTTATTTTATGTTCAGATTAAAATCTTAACTGCACATCCAAACACCGATTCGAACTACAATTTAAACCACACAGTTTAAATTTTTATGTTCAAACAAAAAAGTTTAAATTAACAAAATTCAAACTAAAGAATCAAAGGAGAGCTCAAGTCCTGCAGTCCTATGGTACGGTAAGTGTAATATTTTTCATAAGGATTTGTAACTTTTTTGTATCGCATGTTAATACTAAAAATTTTTTAATGTAATATGGTGAGGATTGCATTTTTTTTAAGGGAGGACTGCCTTTCATAGAGTGTTAAATTTAAACAAAATGAGTATCATAAGATCATATAAATAATGTGACATTGATGAACAAAAAATGTTACATATGTCGACTCGTATAGTCACCGGATTGAAGATATGTCCTACAAATATATAGGCTATGAGATAAAATCATTTTAGTATCTATAATTAAATAACCAAAAACTAGTACTAAAAGATTTTAGTACTATAAAAATCATATAGGCTATGAGATAATTAATAAACTTAGAAAAATCTTGAAGATGTTCTAAAACCTACAAGATATTACAGTAAAAAGCTCTTAGAAACAGTCACATTTAATTTTTTCATTACAGCAAAAGGTTTTCACATAAAATTACATTTCAACTCGAATTAAAAATTCGAATCAACAAATTAAACGGACCCGTAGTAATGGCGAAGGTTGCATGGTGCGGAGAAGTCTATTGTACATGTGGTGTTCTATGGGAAAGTCTTTTTCTCTTAAAATTTGAAATAATATTGTAACACATCTAAAATTAACGAGAACCCATAGTTGAAAATTGTTGCTGTGGTTTAGGTATTTTTAGTTTATGATTGGAAGTTGTTAGTATACATGTGATTTAGATTGATTGACCAAAAGTTTCAATGGAAGAACTACAAACCTGAATTTACAATTAGGATTTTTCTTTTATTTGGTAATATTCTCAAGTGAAAAAGAAAACTTTGCAAGAAAAGTATTGGTATATTGCTTTTTTTATTTAATTGAACACCTATTTCACTACAAGATAGTCAAAGTCTGATTATTTGAAAGAATAATTCTAAAAAGTGGTCTGAAATGGCTTTTGAAGTTTCATGCAAAAAAATAAAATAAAATCCCCTAAAACCCATTTTTGAAGTTCAAATTCCAAAACATAATGCCTCGTTCACTTTGCGGATTCGAGTTTTCAATTCGAGCTGAGATGTGACATTTTCTGAGAGCTTTTCACTGTAGTAGAAAAAGTTAGATGTGACATTTTCTGAGAGTTTTTTACTGTAAAAACCTAAAACTGAAAACTCAAATCGGTGAAATGAACGAAAAACTTCCTTTTTTTTCTAACCGTCGAGCACGTGTTTGTTTCACACCATCATTTACGTACAAAGAAAATGGACGATGGTATAATAAGAAAAAAGAGAGCGAGAGAGAAAATGATGAAGTTAGAAGAAGAAAGAAGAGAGAGAAAGAGAGAGAAATTTTCATATAATGGCACCGAGAAGAAGAAGAAAGATGGATAGAGAATTACAAACTTGGGTAGTGTGTGCACTGAGGTGTTTATTAGGCCTTGTTAATTTCACTGATTCGAGTTTTGTTATAATAAAAAGTTTTTTGAAATAGTCATATTTAACTTTTTTACTGCAGTAAAAAGCTCTAACATAAAATCACATTTCAACTTGAATCAACGAATTAAACGGATCCTTAATTTATTGGGTCCTGCGATGTATAGTGTATGATAAAAATTAAAACCATCTAGCACCCCATGGCCGGGGTTCCATAAATAACTCACTTTCGTTTCCACTACATTGCGGTATATTGCACGTTAATATCATATAACTGATGCATCATATCCAATACAAACGTGGTCAAACAATTTTTGAAAATAGTAGAAAATATGCCAATATGAAAAGCTTAAAGAAGTATATAGGCAAACTTTTAGTTATAGAAATTAATAGGCCATAACTTATCAAGTTATAATACATAACCAGATAAGTTATAGACAAACTTGTCAAGTTATGATTCATAGTCAGACAAGTTATGTACAAAAACCATGATTTATGGATAATAACTTGTCAAGTTATGGTTCATAACCAGACAAGTTATGGACAAAAATAGTAATTTGGCCTATTTATTAACTTATGTAAACTATTGACCTATTAATTTTAATTCATCCCAAGCTTAACCTATTTCCCCCTTTCTCCCAACAATTTTTTTACATGTCCTATGGGTACACTCAAAAAGGCCAGAGCACCAGAGAAGGACCCTAGGATTTAAAAACAAAAATATGTGACCAAATCATTCAGGAAATAAAACACAATATAAGTTATCCACATAAAGAAAATTATGAAAAATAATTAAATTTCCCTAAAAAAAATTGAGATATTTAAGTAATATGTTATGATTTTTAAAGTTAGATTGACTTTTATCATGGATACTAAAACTATTACGAAATGTAACACAATAATATCATTTAAGTTTTATGTACGAAATGTAACACAATAATATCATTTAAGTTTTATGTGCTGAGCAAAATTATATATATACTTTTATGTATTTCATTCAGTATCTTTAAATTTTGTTAGAGTTTTATGATTTTTTATGTATATATTTATGATTTTTAAATATCTTTAATTGTAGTATTCTTTATAATAGTTTATATTTACTGGAATATGTCAATCTAAGCGTCCGTTTGGTTTATGGATTAAAACTATGAGATTAGAATTATTTTTGATTTACGTGTATTTTTTGTAAGAAAAAAATACTGTAGCGAATAATGAACCATAATTCGAATCAGAAAACGAATTCTCCAACCAAACGGGCTCTAAGTCTGGTGCTTTTGTGAAGTGTCCAAACAAATCTCTCAACTCATTTTTTGCTTGCTGTTGCCCATTTATTCGGCCTGCCAATCACGTGCTCATCCCAGGCCCACTTATTAGCCCCATCCATTAATCTTGCTATTAGGCTCGTTGGTTTTTAGGCCTGGGCCTCCCATTTAATTTCCCCTTTATTAACGAGGAAAAGAGAAAATTCTGGATTTTTATCTTTTATTTTTTATTAATATCTTTTTGTTAATAGAGTTATTTAACTAAAAAGAGTATTAATTAAGAGAAATGAGTAAAAATTAAGATCTATTCACTTTTAAAGGGAATTTGTTAAGATTTCTCTCGGTGGGATGGGGAGAAAATTATAAAATTGTACGAGTCTTGATTTGTACTTCTTATTCTTTATTAATACTCTTTTTATTAGTATAAGTATTTAACTAAAAAGGTTATTAATAAAAAATAAGGAGTAAAATCTTGACCTATGTAGTTTTAAAGGGTATTTATTTCATTTCCCTAAAAGTTAAATACTGACAATGTTAGAGTAGCATGACATGTTACCACAAGTAACTCGACATGGTAACTCTAGTACCAAAGTAGCTTTGTAGTTTTTTGTTGGTAACCTAATCGGCTACCACTACAACCGAAGTAGTTGGTAGGTCATGATTATTAGACAAAGCACATTTGATAATACAAAACCACAGACCATGAACTAAAAGTTTATTGAAGTATATATACAAACAAAAATATTTAACTGTAATATTGAATTGCAATTTCTTGCCTAAGTATGTTAATTGACATTTTAAATGTAATTCTAAATTTCTAAACTAAAAAAAAAATATAATTTTAGAGTCTGGAGAATATGGCTTAGGTTTATATTTCGATTTCAAGTTGAAACAACGAGTCATATAGACTCTTAATTAAGACAACTAACGTTATTTTCATTTATATAGTATAATTTTACATGTATTTTGAATATAGTACGTATTTTTAGTTTATTATCTATATAGTGAACAACTTAATTTGATTAGGAAAAAGCAATCTTATATATATATATATATATATATACACACACACAAACATATATAAGGTGAGGTGTCTGATTCAACGAAAAGGTAAAAGAAGAACCTTATTTCATTGCTTTATTTGAAGGGTTATTTTTTCTACTACACTTATTATTATTATTATTATTTTTATTAAAAAAACGAGTATTTATTGGGTAACTGATAATTTGATCATTTTCTCTCGCTTCTCTATGACAACAAATTATTTTAGTAATTATAGTAATTATAAGATGTTACGTGTACGCGATAATTATGATTGTCGGTTAATGAGTTATTGTATTA